GCCTTCTGACTCTCTCTCCTCATTGACCGAGTCGCTAAAACGAATTAAATAAATGATATATATCACTAAAAGACCACATTATTCTAATATACATTAAATATGTATTATATACATACATATACTGAATTTCCATATTAATTCAATAAAATAATGTTAATATATTATAAATAAGAATACAATAGCTATAACAGCCAACGATTTTCGCTGGGATAAATTAAGATGAAACCTTCGCTAATCCAAAATAGGGTACTAGATTATTTGTTAGTAAGTGGGTAAACAGAATTAGATAAATGTATAGAATACGACGTAACTCATCTAGACAAAACATCAAATAGCACACAGATCCACGAAAGATACTTTGAAATAAAATGAATTTCGTAATACATATCTATACTATATTCTTAGGAGTCTTATTCATTAAGATAATGTATTTTATACGAGCAACGTCTTAGATCTAAATCTGAAGCAATGAGCAATTTTTCGATTGTCATGTTACATTTGTAGACAGACAGCTAAAATACAGAAATTAGTTTTGAATTATAGATAAGGCTGTGTTCGGCGGTGCAGGTATAGGAAAACGTGTCAAAATCAATTTTCATATTTGCAGATCGCTATTTTCAGTTTAGTACGAAATCACATATAGTCCTGGACATGATTACAATGTGAAGACTTTCTGCTATACAGTGAAATATTTCCTCACTGATTATAAAAAACAATCATTATGTTTTTTAGCTATTTAGGAACACCGTGAAATTTAGTTGCCAACTTAGAGAGATGACCTAGCGAGAAATTCAACTAGTTTTACTTAACTACAATAACTTATATCAGTAAGGTTTTATTACACTAACTTTGCTTCTAACTCTCAATTGATAACAATGTCATAAAAAGTACTATGCAAAAATGTTATCCGTCTACCGTATCCCAATACAACATGAGGTTATACAGCTGAACCAAGAATCATAGTAATATGAATGCGAAAGTATGTCTATCAGTCTAATTAACACATTTTCATGACTATACCGCTGAACGTATCTTAATGAAATTTGGTATGAAGATAGATTGTACACCACACATTGTATATAGGTTTCTACGTATCCTTGTCTTAACTTTAGCTGTTTCCTGCGACTTCGTCTGCTTAGGTGAAGTAACGGATACGGCCTGGAGCTGGCTAATATTACATCGGAACTAGTTAAAATATTAGCAAGCTCTTGGTCTAAGTGGTAGTACGGTCTATTTGTAGAGTAGACGGTCGGTGGTAGGTAGCGTGGCAAACTGTCCAGACGCGACCGGCTAAATGCAGCCGCGACTATAACTACACCGATTTGCACTTTGCACTCTGAATTTTTAATAGTTCTGTGTATTTCCGCATACAGGTAATTAACTATTTTAGCTTTCTGCTATTTTCAAATATGGTATCGACGGCGAAATCATTTCAAATAGACAGATTCGAATCGGATTCAAATAGAATTAAAATTTTATTCGAATAAAGATTATTTCTAGAGTTGTAATAGTATTTTTTTATTTTGCCACCATATTTAGAATGCAGGTTCAGCCAAGAAGAATAGTTTAGCAAATTTCTAAGACTGTAAGTTAATAATAGATGATGTACTTATATTAAATGGTTTTTGCCTTCTTATAATATACATACATATATTCTAAATGCTTTGTTGTGTATGGAGAACATATAAGAGATAGCTTTAAGCGCTGGCTCTTGTTAAGAAATTTTATTCCATGTGTTCTTTTTTGTACTTTTTATTTCAGTATGTAATAAAGAGTTTTATTAAATAGGTACTTAGGTATATACATAGGTACAGGCTTTTACAGTTGGTTCGATAGAACGGGTGCAGACCATATCGTTCATAAGTAGGTACTCTTGTTTGACACAAAACGATTAGTGATAGTGCGGAATATCCAATAACACTACGTGAGTAGTACATTAAATAGTACTTACATTGAAATAAACATATTATTTTTGAGCCTCCGTTTAAATTATATACCTGCTGCAATAATATTAAACTTAAAAATTACAGGCACAAACGATATAATAAAAAATATACCTATATTCTAACGTTCTATTATAACTTTTAATATATGAATACGATGTTAAAACTTTTTGTATCATTGGGTAGGTACAGTATTCTTTTAAATATTGGTTTATACTATTTTGCATTTCATGTGGAAAATTTCTAAAAATAATTAATGATCAACTTACAATTCAAAATCATCTTACAGCAATAGTTTATTTTAACCTCAAAGATCAATAAGGGAAGGTGAGATAGTATAATATAGTTTTTATTGCGTTAAACATAGAGACAGTATTCCTACGATACAACACAAATTAAGGACAGGAGTGATTGGAGTCTGATGTTGCTCTGATGTTGTTAGACCCTCGTATCAGGCTCAGTACATGCTTAATTAAACTGTCAAACGTCAGCTTTGTGTGGTTATTATATATTTAAATTACCTAATATACGTGCATACAAGTTAATTATTATATATACCTAGATAATAACTAATATATAAGACAACAATTTTTATTATTTCATATAATTCACTTATAATAAGGGTCGTTATTATATCTATATTTTTACTGGAATATACACTTATATGTGCTGAAATCAAGTAAATGTTTTATATTACATATAATAAATTTTATTATATTTCGTATATGTAATTAAGTTACATTTATTTATTTTTTATCTTATTTTATAGGTAAGTACTAAAAAATATTTATTGAAGATAAGCAATAAGTTGACATTGAAAATAAATAATTTCAATATTAACTTATAAATAAATGATAATAATAATAACTAAGATATAAATATAACTTAAAAAGCAGATGTATCACTTACTCGTCTTGTATCAGTTATAAAATAACAACTAACTCAATCAAATTAGTTACACCACTAACAAATTTATAAAAACCCTAAAGGGCGCTAATAAAAATCGACAACTTACTGTTTACCGCACTGCCTCTATCTCAAAGAAGAGTAAGAGATATATATAAAATGTTAAGAAAGAAAGAGAAAGGCAAAATCCTCTATTACAAAATGTAAAGCCTCCTCATTGATCAGAGACGCGTAAAGCCTTTAAAAAATCCGGCAATTTATTTAGTCAGTAAAAACAGCTTACTTGGGTGGATTGTGTTTAAAATAAAAGCTATTGTGATTCTTATTTACGTTTTCCGTTCCTTCCAGTATTTATGTTACGTTATGTATGCACGAGATAACTTTATTAAATTACAAATATTGAAAATATAATTACAAATATTCAACAGTGTCGTTCCTGTTTGAAAATAATGTTCTTGTCATTATTTGGTAGTATTTTTTTCTTAATTGATGTGGAAAGTCTGGTAAACAAGCTAGCTGTGTTGGCTTACTGTAACTGAAACACACAGCTTACATAATAATTACCACGGACCCCGATGATTAACTACAAATTACTTTCTTCCTAAACTGATACAATCATCAGGAATCATGTACCTCTAAGTAGAGAAAAACGGAACGGATATTTTGGGTGCTTTTACAAAAAAGGTTGACGAATATTTTATTTTGGCTTGTCACTACAGAAAATTAGCATTTGTAAATTATATGGAATATAGAATAGATTTGAGAAATAACATTTGGTTGATTATTTAAATTATTGATTACTAAACTAGTAAAATATACACAAAATATTCGTTTCAAACTCTGCTACGGCATTACAAATAACAACAGCTATTAAAATACCTCGTTGAAAGTGATAACTGTCGTCTGTCGGTAAAAATGCATTGTGCCATGTTTCATTGCTATATCTCATTTTTCTAACCAAAATATATAATTTTCAATTTTATAAATGTGTGGCTGATAAATTAATATATTTACAAGCGCGAAGTAGGTTAAAATTGTGAAGTTTGCAACTTTTTCCTGCCCGGTAACAATAAGTTGGAGAACTCATTAGCCTCAAAATTTATAAACAACGGCCAACTTTACCCGTCGTTAACGAGTCGTGTTGGATTAATCACATCAGTGACATTCCCCACTTTATGTCCCTGGTGTAGTATGTATGATGTGCTCCCATAATTGTGACAACTTCACAACAACTGGACATCAAGTTTCAACTAAACCTCAAACAAATTGTGCGGATTTTATTTTAAAATATTACAAAAAAGTAGTATTATATACCTAATAAGTATATATGTTTTTGTAATATATTAAAATATAATTTATAATGAATTTAAACAGTAAATATATCGAATGTAACGAATTAAATATAATATTATTTTAAAATAAAATGGTATTAAATCAGTATTTATTGCTTTCTGTAATAGATTGTAAATATTGCTAGTTAATAATTTTGTTTGAAGTAAATTAATTTATTTTTGAAGAATATACTATTGGTAACTATTGGTAAGAGTCAAAATTAGTTAAAATCTGTAATGTTAATGTGAAGTATGTATACATACAAACTGTGATATTTTTGCAAATGTCACAGTTTATTAAGTACTGTTTATAGTTACTACTTACTTTTCTGTTGTATATACACACACATTAATATTAATAGCTCGAAAAAATAAAAATATATATTTTTAAAATTAATTTGTTAGGGTTAAAATGGAACGGGGAATGGAAAAAATGGAAAACAATAGAATTTTCATAAAATTTTATTGATATTAAATAATTACCGTTAAAAATGGTATATAAATATCACAGACAGAAATATATTTGCTTTCACATTAGACAACTTAAAGTTTACATATAAGGAGAAGAAATCATTAGTCATTATTTTGATTTTGATATCTTATATACAAATTTAAGTAACATTAGTACGATCTCACACTGCTACAAAAGTACATCTTTTCACATTATAGTTACCGAGAAATGTAATAATGCTAATTATTTTGTTCAGTATGTACATATTGGTGCTATATAATTATTATATTTGCATTGATAAGAAGAGTCAGTGGGTGCTATAAATAGCGGTATCATTCTACTGCGCTCGATACACTAAAGAATAGGCAAGATTGCGAGCAAGATGTTGTGGTTATACGTACTCGTACTATTATACACGTTCTATTACTTTGCAAAACAAAAATATACTTATTGGATAAAATTAGGTGTCAGAGGACCTCGTCCACTACCTTTTTTAGGTAATTTCGGAACTGTGATACTGCAAAAGAAATCAGTGAATCAGTGTATAAAAGATATTTATAAACAATACCCAGAAGAAAAAATTGTTGGCATCTACCGTGGCTTTCAACCTCTCCTGCTAATCAGAGATCCAGAATTAATCAAACAGATATTGATTAAAGATTTTCAATTTTTTCAAGATAGAGGTATCAGTAGATCTCGTAGTCGTATTGCTGAAAATCTGTTTTCTGTTGAAGGTGAAAAATGGAGAATTTTGAGGCAAAAGCTCACACCCGTATTCACGTCTAAGAGATTGAAAGACATGATACCTTTAATTGAAAACTGTATTGAAAATTACACTAATTATGTGGAATATATTGTTGAAAGAAATATTGACCATGAAATAAGATTGTTAGCATCCAAATATACGCTACAAGCTATTGGTTCATGCGCATTCGGTCTTGATATTGACACCTATACAGATAGTCAAAATAAATTCACAATAATGGCTAAAAGGGTATTTTCGCCGAGTACCTTTCTTAAGTTTATAACTATTCTAGATATAATTATACCCGGTTTAAGAAAAATGTTTAATACAAGTGCGGATATAAATGATTTCTTTTTAAATCTTGTTAAAAACGTTATTGAGGAAAGAAGAAATAAACCCATGTTAAGAAAAGATTTCATGGATCTAATGATAGAGTTAAAAGAAAAAGGCAATCTTAGCGTAAAAAATGAAAATACAGGAATGTCAGAAATTTATATTGACAATGAATTAATAGCTGCTCAAGCATTGGTTTTTTATGCTGCTGGATTTGAGACATCATCTGCAACTATGTCTTTCATGCTTTACGAACTCGCCCTAAATCAGAATATACAGGAGAAAGTATATCAAGAAATAGTCAAAGTTACTGAAAAATATAACAATAAACTGACTTATGAATCAGTTAAGGAGTTGATATATTTGGAAATGGTATTTGAAGAAACATTAAGAAAACATTCAGTGGCAGGAGTATTATTTCGTAAATGTAAAACAAATTATGATATACCTGGAACAAATATTAAATTACAAAAAGATACACCAGTTATTATATCAGTGAGTGGACTCCAACACGACAGTAAATACTTTTCAAATCCTGAAATATTTAATCCAGATAATTTTTTGCCTGAAAATAAAATCAAAAGACCACAATTCACTCATATGCCATTTGGAGAGGGTCCCCGAAATTGTATTGGTAAGAATGACAGGATTTTATAATGCATCTGTTTTGTTACGTATTTATAAATATTGTTTACGTTTTTTCTCCACCTTTACAGGTATGCGCTTCGCGATAGTTCAGACAGTGTTGGGTGTAGCATCATTTTTACAAAAATTCAAAGTACTTCCTTCTACGAAAACAAAATCTCAGCTTCGTTATGATCCTAAGGCTATAACTTTGACTAGTCTAGATGGTATATGGTTAAAAATAGTAAAAAGATAATATTACCGAACTTTTTGTAATTGATATTATATATCGGTTTCGAATTGAACACATCGGTTAGCGAAAAAAATTAAGTCGGACTATTAAAACAATTACGATGGCTGAAAATACGTAGTTTTTCCTAATTTAATTTTAACAACAAAGTATCAAAACCAGAATTAAGTAGAATTTTAAAAACAAAATTTTAAAAACAAAAATTTTTAAAACTTTGTATACAAATTATGTAGAATTTATAAATGTAATAATGTAGTTTCTTTTGTTTAGTAAAAACCTTCTAGACTTACCTAACTTAGCATTACGTTGACACAATTGTTAACTGAACAGAGCTGGCTGTTGTGTTGTCTGTAGAAATTTAGAGGGTACTTTCTCGTGACTGTCTCCACATTCACGCTTTCAGGATTGGTGTCCATTGTTTCAGATTATTAATTCTAGTTGATATTAATAGTACGTATTATAATAATATCATTTTATAAGTTTTCTCAAAATAAATTTCAATCTGTGTGTAACATATTATATTAATTTCTAATACAATATTTAATTAAACAAAAGTCCTTTTACGTTACGTAGACTACATATTGGGTCCCTGTCGGTTGTTTCGCAAATTATCTTGCACACAAATAAATGAAATCTCTTAAATTTTTTACCATTTTTTGTTACACAATTAACAGTGATTATCTCATTAAAGAATCAAATTAACAAAGTTTAGATACAAATGTCATAGCACGTGAACATATATATATATATATGATTTAACTGACGATACCCAGCATATATTGTGTAAGAAACAAGTATTCTTTATCATCATCATTTTCATCAAAAGATTTATTTCTTGTAACTACTGCATATTTAAGTCATAGGTTTGCAAACATACTGATAACTAAAATCCTTAAAATTATACTCATATTTTAATAAAAAACAAATTATGCAAATACTTTAGTTCATTTATTTTGGTTTTCTAACAGTAGAATGGAAACAACATTGCTAAACCTTAAACATATTTTTTGGAATGTAATTATCATCCGACGTAGACTGTATGCACATCGTTGCACTAGACCGTTACATTAAACTGGCATTTAAATACTAATTTATATATGGTAGTATGTCGAAATCTATTTATGCATGACGATCTTATTAGAGATATAAGGTGTCCGCTGAAAACCAGCGTCGTGGCATGTGCTGTAAATGTAGTCCAACTTACATACTAAAAAACATTTGAATCATGAATTATTTTTATAGTTAAGATGTGAGTTTTTGGTGGGATATAACATAATTTACCTCGACTCGCCTTTTTAAATGAACTGAATCATTATATATTTACTATATGATATTTAATAATATATGTCGATTAATATTAATGCTTGACACTTCGATTATATTTTATTATATATTACAATGTTTCTAATAGAAGTTCGAATTTTCGCACAATAACACCATTTATATTACCGAATGTTAGTTTCGGTGTTTTATGTGTCTCAGAAAAATTACACCAATTCAAGTCTTTCTGTAGATACTCATATTATATATAGATATAGGTCTGCATACTTTGAAGTTAAATGGCTAGTGGAATGAATGGAACTAAATGTTTGTGATATTCTTGGTACACCAACAACATCACAAATAGATTGTATATCGAATTGTATAGCAGTGGAAAATTTTTTTACGAAAACTAAAAAAAATTTTATTAAAAAAATAATATTCAAAACTGTATAAATATTTATCATTCAAATTCAAGTGATTTCAATTTATGAATAAACATCATGTTTAAAATCTGCTCGCACCACGGTATCTGACTGGCCATCAAAATTTAATTTGCTAGAAAGCGCGCTCTCTAAGTAATGTATGCCAACTACGAGGGCCGTGGCACCAACCGACTCGTCCATGTCTCGTATATTTATCTCGTTCAAGATATTTCTACAAAAAGTATGAGTATTATACTTGGCAATGACTCAAATACCTTCTTTAAACTAAATTACCATTTAATTTAAAACGTAAAAATAAATTAATCAGTAACTAATTAATACATAATATTACACGATTACCATGCATAGTCGCAGGCTATTATTAGTGAGATTGCGATCCTTTCCTGTATTTAAAGTTTTGTCCACTTAAATGTTTGCTGCTGTTAAGATGTATATTTCGAATTTTAATTTTGTATATCTATTGCTTTTCTGCTTCTTTTTACATCTTTACTAGTTTTCATCTGGTCCTCCGCCACAACTAGTAATTCTCTCAATTGAATGAATCACAATTTAGATTTTAGTTTTACGTTTAGAATCAACATAAATTTAAATTCTGTTTGCTAATCGATACTAATTCATGGTTATTCTACATAAAGTAGTTAAGTTGGGCTGCATGCGCTGGGTGGCGATTTATGGCGGTATTAGATTCGCATTTGTAGCCGTGGAGAGAGCATCGGATCCAGCCTCCACTCCTAGCACCACCTCTGAATAAAATCGGATGTATTAAGGTTGAACATATGTCTAATGCTTAATACTTTCTTAATTACAGTGGTAAAGTTCTGTGTACCTTGTTTGTAGGATTCCCATAAAATGTTAGGAGCAGAAAAGATCTCCATTTAGGGTGCCAAAAAAATGTAACAAAAAATATATAATAATATTTTTTTATCTTTGACAAATTTTCTTATTTATTGACAACACTGACTAATGGAAATGTATACAATAATTCAGTATTTTTGCTATCTAACAAAACGTAGCATTAATAATTGTAGTTTATTCAATTACATCCGGTTAATCCAAAAATATTGATTGATCATGTAAAAATATAGCTTATGCACCATCCAAATAATAAATTAGTGTTAAAAACTATAATGGTTCAGCCATTAGGGCATCGAGTGCTTTACAATTTATTTTTGATATTTATTATAGTAAGTAGGATACTTGACAATCCTACTCATCGAAATTATCGTTAATAATCACACAATTTCACACCCATATTCATTTTCTATCAGATTCAAAATGGATGTGTATATAAGATTGAATGAAACGCAAAAATTAAATTATTTATTCCTAGCGAAGAAATAACATAGATGTGAAAAATAACAATATTTAAATTTACAGTAGAAATAAATTTATTGTGGTTCTACCGTGAAATTTAATATTCTTTATTAGATTTTTCGCTTGAAGATTCAAAAGGATAACGGGGAAAGAGTACACTTTTAAGCAACCATATTTTTACTTCCGTATTAAAGGAATTTTTATGTTTAAATGAATATATATTTACTAAAATTTACACGAGGTATTCATAAAGGTTTCTTTGGGTAGTTGGTCCCATAAGATTTAGTTTTTTTGTATAGTCCAGTAATCGTTTTTTGTCGCTTAAAATATACATTTGTTGCACAAAAACCTATTCCATAGCGTACTTAGGTACTTAAATGTATATTTAAAGTCTAATATTGCAAGGCGCAGTTATATACATTCCTAATTGTACGTCGCATATTCACTGAAATTTATTGTTTCATTTGGTGTCCCGTATTTCAGTGATGCCGCATTTAATATCTAAAAGAGTTGCTACATTCTGTAAGCAATGCTTTGTTTTATTATTTTATGTCTAATACAAAATGTCTGTATACCTCATGTTATTTAAATCAATACAATAATTACCCAGAAATGGAAATTATGAATTTCCATAAGAAAAATTATAGAAAATTACTAGTACTGTGTGTAAATCTAATAAACATATTTGAGTCAAGAGACAGTTTCGAACTAAACTAATTCCGATTAATAACACAGTTATAATAGAATATGTAACTAGTTGCAATCGATTACAAAGATTCATGGTATGGCAGCCCTTCGACAAATAGTTGGGACCCATAAACTATTTTATCATCCATTTAGTTCTGAAGGCTCTTACATATTGCGGAGTGGAGATGTAGATAGGAAGTTTGCTTCGTACCTACGCTTACGAAGTATACATATTGTTATAAATATTTGTACTATCTACTACGTACATTATTATTAACATCCAATACTTTAAATTATAATCTCAATAAATGGAAGTCCATTGAGGCACAGTATACAGATTGAAGAATATTGAAGTCTGAGGTCACATAATAAATTATGTACCTTCTAAAAGTGAAACATATTTGAAATAGGTGCAGCAAATTTTTAAACACTTAGTTTTATTTTAACTTTTCGTTTGTATATGTATGTAGATATAAAGGGGTTCGTTTATTGTTATAGCACGAACAATACAAGTAGTTTTTTCATCCACAAACGGCGGAAAGCAACCTGTTGTGAAGTTTTTAATTAAATACAGAGGATCGGGTAGCGCTACACTTATTTTGCTCTTTTATGAGTTGAGATGACTTGTTTTCTTTAGTTAGGGATAATTCTACATGTACTTTTCAGTGTAATAATATTATGGCACTTATAACTATCATATTTGTAAACATTAGTACATAAGTAGATTTCTAAATATTAGACATGTATTAAAGAATTAGATAATTTTTAAACAAACTTCAAATACTTTCTAGAAAATTATGTCATCTTTAAATCAATACTATATGAAACATTAGTGTAAAAATAAATGTACATGCAACTTATGGTAATTTTAAAACATAATTGTTCAATAACTTTTTTAGTAGTCTGTAGTGTATATTTGATACCATAGAGTAGGTATGTGATGTTAAAAGTTTTGATTAATATTTCTTTTCTTATGATAGGGAATATTAATAAACTGGATAAGGTAATTGCATACTTTTATTTTAATGTTCTCATTCATTATTTGTATATTCATGTTCTCATTTATTATGGTATACCTTTCCACGTTCATAATCATGACTATTTTTATTGTTTATGGTTATTTGTTATAATTTAGCACTATATTACGAATATTCCATAATGCACTTTAAAATAATATATAACTTATAGAAACTCAAATATTAATAAAGTAGACACATCCATATCTGATTATTAAGTCGTATTATTTTTATTATTTCGGACTGATATATAAAGAATAAAACAATACTTTTATCCAATCACTTTGAGACGTTTACAAAATTAAAATAAACTAAAACTGATTTTTTCAATACATGACTCATATGTTCTTCTTTTTTTCAAAGCCATTATTCAGTCATGGTACAGCATCAAAGAGAAAACTCATTTCTTTTTTTTTTTTCTAAGAAAAGTAAACAGTGCTTCGGAAAAGATCCAACGCAAATGACACGGTCCGAACTTCAACCCTCTGGATATTGAAGGTCTCTAGCGCCGGTCATTGGATGTAGGGGTACCTATAAGCGAATGCTAGATAAATATAATAAATGAAAATAATCGTAACTTGATGACAGCAGAAAAAAAATATAAACAAGAATATTTTAGAAAATATTTGTGTATAGGCATAACAAGTCACAGTGCCATTTAGTCTCAACTAAGCAGACCGTGCATTGTGGGTACGAAACGACTGATAAGTTTACTGCTTATCAGTCGTTTCGTAAAGTGTAAAGACTTTAAAATATATATATATGCATAATATATATATATATATATATGTACATAATATATATATATGCATACATACATATATATTATGTATATATTCTGTCTGGTTTATAAAATACTATGAATACAATTATAATTATGAATGTTTGTATCATGAGAGAATCGAAACCGCGATCGGAAGTCAAGCCGTGTACTAAACCACACGCCATCCGTCTAAATAAATAAAGTACACGTACATAAACAAGTAAACGAATAATTTATCATTTACATACGAAAAAAAATAATACAAAGAGTTCGCGATATCTACATGTCTACTCATATTAATTTCGTGATTACTATGTTTCATCCGATGAGGGATCATATAGCGTGGGCTTGATAAAGACCGTTTCTTCCCTTTCAATAAGTACAATTTGTAATCATTACGATTTCTCAAACGATACAGGGAGTGAATATTTTCAATTTCACTGTATTTTCGTATTTATGTCACAGGATATCTTCGTCAATTATATACTTATTTTGATGTTAATGTTTACTCCCGTGTTGGTACCATATTAATCTTATTAAAATCAATTTTTGTGTTTTTTTTTGAGAATAAGGATTTTAATTAGAATAATAGTTTGTA